TGCTATAAATACATATTTCAATTCCAAAAATACCATAATCGTATATAAGTGATCTAAACGGAATAGATTTTGAAATACCGTATGATCGAAGAAAAAAAACGGCGTCAAAGATGGCTGGAAAATGACCTTCAATGATAATTTTGACGAGGACAATCTCTAGATGGCATTTACTAAAATTTTACATAAAACTTGTCAAAAATTATCATTATTTAATTATAGAAAGATTAAAAAAGGATAGAACGTTTCCAGACCCACAAATCTATTTCCAAAAAATACATTTTCTGGAATTTTAAACTACACCATTTTAAAATCATTTTTACTCAATCTATACTAATATATAAAATTCTTAAGTGACTGACTCACTGATTAATCACGATCCTGCTCAAACCACTCAACGTAAGAAGCTCAATTTTGGCAGACAGGTTGATTCTAGGATGTAGAGGTCCGATAAGAAGGGATTTTTCGAAATTCCAGTTCCAGTTCTCAAATATTACAATATTTTTTATTTAAAAAACGGTCAAATTTCCGAAAAAACGCTTAAACACGTATATTTTATTTTGGTTTTTACATATTTTATGACTTTTTAAAAATGTACACAGGGTGCTTCGAAAAATCTGGTCATTGATTAATCACGATCCTGCTTAAAGCGCTTGACGTAAAAAGCTTATTTTTGGAAAACGGCTTGACTTTAGGGTGTAGAGCTTCGATAAGAAGGGATTTTTCGAAACTCGAATTCTAAGGGGGTGAAACCACCCCTCAAATATTAGAATATTTTTTATTTAAAAACTGGTGAGTTTTTCGGAAAAACTCTTAAACAGGTATATTTTATTTTGTTGTTTTACATATTTTGAGATTTTTTAAAAATTTATACAGGGTGTTTCCTAAAATATGACCATTGAGTAATCACGATTCTGCTTAAACTGCTTGACGTTTAAAGCTGATTTTTGGCAAACGGGTTGACTGTGGGGTGTAGAGGTTCATAATTTATTTTTTTTTACATATTTTGAAATTTTTTAAAAAATCATACAGGGTGTTCCAAAAAGTTGGGTAATTTATTAACCACGATTCTGCTTAAACTGCTTGACGTAAAAAGCTTATTTTTGGCAAACGAATTTTTCGAAAGTCAAATTCCAACGAGAGGAATCTACCCCTTAAATATTACCAAGTTATATAATAATATCGCCATATTGTTTTTTCTCATGCTGACATAAATGTGAGAAAATATTATCCAGTTTGTATGTTAATGGAAATTCTTGCTTTGCTTTATCATCACCAATCACCATTACAAATGATTAATTCGACGCGAACGAAGTCGCGGGTACACGCTAGTATAAAAATAAATTACAACCTTATGGCCAACTGACAGTAAGCGCCATTAAAAAATAAAGAAGAGCACGGGCAAAGAAATGACGTGTAGAGTTTGACCTCGCCAAAATTATCATCAATTGTCATTCCGCAGACGTCTTTGACGCCGATTTTTTTCGATTGGGTATATAAAATACCTTGGAAAAAAGATCCTTATTTATAAAATAATACTGAATTTATTTAGGAAAATAATATAGAAACATTTTTGGATACAATAAGTATATGTTTAGAGGATTTTATAAAAATTATCTCTGTTATAAATATTAATACCTACATAATTTAATTTTTTAAATGTCTTAAGAACCATATTGTCTAGAAACAAAATTAATGTCTTAGACAAGTAACAGGGGACAGGTAACACGGCAGCTGAAAGTGAGGCAAGTTGTCACCACGCGAAATTTCCCAATGGCGTAGCATCAGAAATTAGCTTGTACCTAGACGGTACAAAATATTTATTAAAACGTAAACTAATATATCGTTCATTTTTGAGTAATGCATATACAATTTTGTATTTTATAGTCTCCCCTTTCTAATATTAGAATATCTAAGTCGATAATGCAAAATCTATTTAACAGTCACAGTGGACTGATTATCAAGACAATTATTTATTTATTAACGTGTGCATAATGTATAATTAAATAAAAAATAATGTAATAACATATTTTAAACGTGTATATACATATATACTGTATGATCGAAAAAAACGGCGTCTTGTTTGTTTGGAAATGACAATTTCACAAATGAATATTAAAATTACATTATTCATTGAATATTGAATCAGTAAGCAAGTGTGAAGAGATTGGCTAGATTCATTATTATACCGTTTAATCGAAAAAACGACGTTCAGTTGGCTTGTAAATTACGATCGATGACATTCCCCATATAATTCTACATATAAAATTACATAAAAACAATACAAAACGACATCGAAAAAAGACGGCGTCAGCGATGGCCATGAAATGAAGATCGCTGTCATTTTATATGTAAAATTATATGGGGAATGTCATCAATCGTCATTTACAAGCCAACTGGACGTCGTTTTTTTTCGACCATATGGTATAATAATGAATCTAGCCATTACCCTTCACACTTGCGTACGGATTCAATAAATAATGTAATTTTTAATATTTGTTACCTTCAATCATAAGAATATCCGAATTTATTCACTAAAAAATAAAACAATTCTAGAAGCTTTGTGTTATTTTATTTATTTTTAAATTTTTATTAATTACTCACTGAAACTATTATTTATACACTTAAATTAGCAAATTTTTTGAAAGAATATTTAAAAAAATATATGTATGTAGTAACAAGTAGCCCACCACAAGTTTGTCCACCCCCAACAAATCTTGGCAGGTAAATTTAAGTTTTATATACATACATGTAGAATTTTTATCACTAGAATTTTTAATTTTTTTATAGTTTACAATTATTTTCCATATTTGATAACAATACTTTATACATTTTTTTACATGTAAAATATATAAAAAAATGTTTATTGCAGAAATTGTATTTCTCTGATTATAATTCCCTACGCCACTGGTGACAGCCGGTCTGAGTAGCAATATTTATAGTTTCAAACATTAATTATAATACAGGATATTGAAAATACTACTTGGAATTATTAAAAATAGTTTGGTTTGGATGTGGTACAAGACATATTAAAAGCATTTTACATATTTTTACTGCTATAATGAAAAAAATGTACATTTTATGACCACATAACAAAAGTTGTGTATCGATTTTTGCCTGTGAAATGTAATTCCAGCCACTTCTTTCTCGCTTCGGCCTTTGCAGCCATACTCTGAACATCTCACCATACTAAACAACACAGTTTATAAATTTAAAACAAAACAGTTGTCACCTCGAAATCTTGTCACCAAAGTATGGCCGCCGATCGAATTTTGGCCTCACTATCCGATCACGGGTGAATATGCGTGTTACCCAGGTGTTACCCGTCCCCTCTCTTTCCTTGTCTAAGATTAATGTAGTTTTATAGTTAGTATTTTCAGCGATATTCGCGATTTTTAAATTCGTTGTTACCAACCATGGACATATTCGGCGCCAGGCTGACCAAATGAAATTTAAATTTCCCGCTGGAGATTCAGATGGTAGCTCTGCGGTAAAAAATGTCAAGTTGCCACATTTATTTAATTATTTCCTGACATTGTCATTCGTTTTGACACTTTAGTTTTGTATTTTGTATTACGAGTTATTGGTTTAAACGAATTGTGTTGTGATACTTAATTTTTTTTTACTAGCAGACATTTCAGTCAAACATTGCTCTTATAGTGCAAAGTGTACAAGATAGCTTAATAGCCGTTCAAAAAACTCATCGCAATCTGAATAAAATATTTTGAACGGAAAAACGGTAGTATTGACCCGTTATATCCCTTAAATGCCAGTTAAGGAGGTGAGTTTTCTTGATATAAATAACTGTTTATATATTTTTGGTTTCCTAAAATATTTTGATTAAAAGAAAATATGTAAAAGTGGGCAACACTGTGCCGGTCAAGCTTAATCACGTGACTAAAAGTTTATTTGATATGAACTATATATTTTCTATACACTTTTTCATGTAAATTCCTAGATTATAGACATGTTAGTAACTCTGAAGACAAAATATCATCGAAAAAAAAACGACGTCAAGCAGGCTTAGAAATAACAATCGTTGACATTCGCCATGTAATTTTACATATAAAATGAGAGCGATCTTCATTTCCAAGCCAATTCTGACACCATTTTTTTGTTAGTGGGTAGGCATTTTAAGTACTCTTAACGATTGGTTACTAGATATTTCGAAAAATGATGCAATTTTTGGTCAACTTAATCTTTAGGGGTATTTTTTACAAAATCCTCAATAAAATTTTGTTTATTATAATTTGGCAACAAACATGTCATCAGAACCTTAAAAATATTTTTTTAAAAATACTTATGAGCATAAAAACGTTTATACAGGAGTCTAGCTATACCTAGGGATTATAAATTATAATAATGTCCCTATTCTAGGAACAAATATTTATTATAAAAATAAGTACCCATATAACTAGGTATAGCAACTTTAATTATAGGTACTAAACCGAGAATTTTGCAAAAGATATATAGCTATTTGTAGTTAACTCTTCTTAGATTCTATTAAAAGATACCAGATAAACTAGATCTGGTTCACAAAATATTGCTTAGAGCTATTTTCAGCTAACTTAAGATAAATGAAATCTTCTCATGCAACATCTATTTGTTCTGTTTGAAATATTCTAGCTGTAGAAACAGTATATTACATTATCATCCTACCCTCTGATCCTACCTTTTATAGTAAAACAATTGTTCTAATAAGCCTGTGCAAATCACTAAAAAACAACAAAGTCATATGATACGATATTGCTAATTCTGTGTGTTTTATATTGTCCGAAACGTGTTGTTACTGATGTACTTAGTTATTTTTATCGTTCAAGAGAAAAAATACCAAAATAGGAATAAAAATAACACAGCAAAACCGATACGAGGACACACTTCCCACGTCGTAAACAGACGGGGAGTCGGCAACAAAATGTCGCCGTTTTTTATCCATATTGCAGCTTAAAAACGTGCCAAAACACGTTTCAGACCATCTGTTATCACTTGCAAAAGAAAATTACCTCTCGATCCACCCTCCTTTTCCAAATAAATCCACTCTCATGCTGATAAACGCACAAAGACGTGTATTAAAGTCCAGCCATCTTTGCCATACCTCGATGTAACAGTATGTTTACAACGCGGTTTTATTCACTTTAGAACGGGTCCTGTCGCAAAATCATTTAATATTTCAGTGGCGGATGGTTTCTCACGACGCGAAATGCACTCAGACCGTTTTTTTCGTCACTTTTTTCAACATTTTTCGCGTTTTTTCGACCCGCACCGCACACGGCAACTTATTTAGTCTACGTATTCGCTCGATTTCGTTCTGGGGCGGCGTTGCCAGCGTGGGCCGGACGGATTTCAGAAGCGTTCCGATTTAAACGGTTGCCTATAAAAAGAAAGATTTATTTTCTGTTTCTTTTAAGTTTTGATTAGGGCCGAAAACGTTGTTTGTTTTTTGAAATCCGAGATTTCTGCCTTTATTTTATTTTATTTCTTGTTTATTGAAGTAAAACTTCTTTACTCGGGCTGGGAGTAAAAATTCAAGGCCGTGACACACGAGCTAGCGAGACGAAAAGTGGTAACGATCTGTGTCTTCTACTAACAGTGCTAACACTAACAGCATATGGCTTAGATAGTTAGTGTTTAGAAATACGAAGTGTTTTCCAAAATTATTGCTATTTTAATACAAATTTTGTGAAAATAAATCAATATCAATTTATTAATTTTTAATTTATTACTTTTTGTCCTTCAAATCCTTCAATTAGTAAGCTGTTAGTAAGAAGTTACTTATTTTTTTCTGCAGAATATGTTGCCAAAGTTTCCAAATTAATAATTCGGACCACCCTGTATATTAAAATTTAATTTATTTGAAAAACAAAAAATATTAATTACTTAGAATTTTACGTGCACTCGGCAACGCCGGAAAAGTTTGTCATCACGCCCCACACGAGCGCTGTTGTCAGTTCAAGGAGAATGGGAACGAAAATCGAATTTTAATAAAGAACTCTTGTTTTATCGTTAGTTTTAACGCGGTAAAATCTATTTCCAGTAACTAATTAAATCATCCACTATAGAATCGATAGAATAGGAAGAATATTCGTGGAGAAATAGTTGTAATTTGAGACGGGCGGCGTTTGTTATCTATTTTTATGTTACGCCTAAATCCAGCAACAAGTTGCCAGAGCAAAACAACCTATTCTATTTCGGTAGGATCTTAACGTACAACGCAAAAACAAGATATTTGCGGGGCTTTATGTAACCGGCGTCTTAAATTCACAGTAAACAACAGATTTTTATCTGCGCAATTTCATGTATCGCACACTTTCACACAGTTTTTACATCGTCACGTTGCTTACAATCAATTTTATTGGTCCGCAGAGCGAAAAAATACCAATTTAGATCATGATTTGCGGCATCGCGTTGAATTTTTGATTAGTTTCGCCGGAGAAAATCGCGAAAAACCGCGGTGAGATGTGCGGTAGGCAACCCGTAATACTGGCTGGGCTTTTTATGAATCACGTAGTCGTCGTGGAAATGCCCGGTGACGTCACGCGATTCATAGCTTTTCCCAGACGGCGGCGGCGGCTCAGGTACCCACCCTTTTGGTGCGTGGGTGGAGAGTACAGGGTGAAGCAATGAAATAGTCGATAAAGTCGTTTACAGGGTGGATAAAAATATATTTGCTAATAATGTTGTTGTTATTATTGTTTTTTAACAGTAAGACAGTCAGTACACGGGTTGGAACACCCACTTAAGTCGGTGACTGAAACATATATAGGGTCATCCATTTTTTTAAACTAAAAATGTGTTTTTTTAAGTAGGATTCTTATGGAAATGGATCATACTAAAATGGGCTTATTTATTTATTTATTTATTTAGCGTATGGCGTACATGGATTTAATTACAACATCAAATGTATATATTCAAACACAATATAACATGTAAACAGATTGTCACAAATTGTAAAAATAAAACTAGATATTTAAAAAGTTATACACAAAATATATTACAAAAAGTACACTTAAATTTTAAAATCTAGGCTATTGATCCAGTTCAACACGGTGTCTGTGGCTTCAAAGAAATCACTCGCTTCTCCTCCATATGCTGTAAGAGGGCATTCAGTTACAATGTGATGAACAGTTTGACGTGGTTCTCCGCAGTCACAAGTCGGTGATCCGGTCAGTCCCCATTTATAAAAAGAATCACGACATATGCCATGAGACGTTCTTACCCTGTTGAGTACCTTCCACTCGTGGCGGGGCAGCTCCATCCCTGGTAGAGCTGCTGTAGGGTCGATGACATAAGCTGCTTGATCTGGTTTCAAAGAGTCCAAGTACTCCCTCCATTTATCATTTATACTGAAGTTTTCTCGCAAAAGTTGTTTTGCTAATAGTAGTGCGGGGGATCTAGACTTCAGTCTTCGCAGACGGGCATCTGGCAAGTCGTTGTGGACTGGAAGATGGGGATTTGATAATATTTTCTGATATTCCTTAACGAGTCTTTCCTGTCTTCGAATACTGGGAGGTGCAATGTGACTCAGAGTGGGCAGCCAAGGTGTGTGGTGTGCTTTTTAAACAGCCGCTGACTATTCTCATAGTCTCATTAAGTTTGGTGTCAATTATCTTTACGTGGCAGCTGTTTAGCCAAACTGGAGCGCAATATTCAGCAACTGAGTAAACTAGGCTGAGAGCTGATGTTTTAAGAGTGGATGCGTTTGCGCCCCAAGTAGTACCGCAAAGTTTGTGTATTATATTATTTCTAGTAGTTATTTTAGCTGCAGTATTCTCTAGATGCCTTTTGTACGAGAGTGTTCGGTCCATTGTTACTCCTAGATATTTTGGATAAGGGTTATAACGTAGCAAGTTGTTATTGAAGTATACTTGGGGGCTCCAGGCGTGCTTGTTTATTATTGAGATGAAAGCACGACAGTTCAGTTTTATTCATATTTGGGATTAGTCTCCAGTTTGCGAAATATTTTCCCAGTACAGATAGGTCTTCTGATAGTAGGCCATTAGCTTCCTCTATAGTTTTACTGCCGATAGCAAGAGCTAAATCGTCGGCATACCCAAATTTTGTTGACGTTGTATGTGGAATGTCGGAGATATATAGATTAAACAGTACCGGTGCGAGTACAGAGCCTTGAGGGAGCCCATTATTAAGGTGTCTTATTTTACTCCTTCTTTTTCCTGTTATTATTTGGAAGGGCCTGTCGCCCTTCATCCAGCATGTTGTTTAATAGAGATGCTATTCTACTGCATGGTACTACGAGGAATTTGTATAGAAGACCTTCTCTCCAGACCGTGTCATACGCCGCAGTCAAGTCAACATACACCACAGTGGTCTTCAGCTGTTTTTGGAATCCTGCTTCAATGTGTGTTGTTAGGCTGAGTACCTGGTCTACACAGCTACGATGCGGTCTGAATCCAGCCTGCTCAACAGGAGTATGTTCCAATATCAATGGGCCTATTCGGTTTAATAGCATACGTTCTAGAAGTTTGTAGCATGAACTTAATAAGACTATAGGGCGGTAGCTTTCAGGCAAGTTCTTAGGATTGTTTGGCTTTAGAACTGCAACTATTTTGGATTTCTTGAGCTCTATTGGAATATGCCCTGTTAGTAGAATATCGGAATAGAATTTACTCAGCCACATTCTTGTATGTTTCCCGCAGTTTTTGAGGAATTCGGGGTGAATTCCATCGAATCCAGGTGCTTTACCAGATTTGGTGTCTTCCAGTGCTTTATCCACTTCTTCCACAGAGAATGGCTTGGCGTATTCAGAGTGGGCACTTGCCTTTTGGCGGCAGATTGTCAGTTGTTTTTTAATATTTGCGTTTGTTGTTTGCTGCTAGGGGCCTTAGAGAGTGTTATCACTCTTGCAGCGATTTGGTCTGCTGATACTTCCGGTGGTTCACGAGTGGGTGGGTTAGAGCCGCCCAGTTTCCTCAGAAGGCTCCAAGCCCCCCTGCTAGATTTTTTGAAATCCATTCTACCTGTCGTTTCTTCCCATTTTTTACAGCGTTCTATATCAAGACGATTAAGGAGCTCGTCTGCTATCTCAGAGTCTCCGTTGTTCTGAAATTCCTGATAGAGCTGTTCCATGTCGTCGCTCCATCCTGGGACATATTCCTTTCGAAATCCACGTGGTATACACTTTTTTGCTGTTGTTATAAAGGCTTTGCCAAATCTACCATAATTGTGGCTTTTAGGAGGGATCCATCTGACGACTTTGTCCAACTCCACAGCGAATTTGTCCCATTGGGCCTTTCCAAAATTCCACCTAGGCCTGGGTGTAGAATGGATTATCGGAATTTTAATTCCAGTTTCGAGAACTATGGGGCGATGTTGACTGTGCGGGAAGTCATCCAGAACTTTCCTCGACATTGATATAGGACGTTTTTTGGCATTCTCTGAGACAAAACAGAGATCTGGGTTTGGTTTTTTTTTCAGTGTTCCACGCAGCTGATCTGAAAGAGTTTCGTTCTTTGGCATCAAAAATTAGGTGAAGATCATGTGAATCGGCCCAGCTCGCAAGGCCATCGCCATTTTCATCAGTGGTTCGATATTTCCAAGCAGTGTGATGGCTATTGAAGTCGCCTGCATATATTGCAGGGTGTGGATAGACATTTAGGACATTATCAGGCCAGGATGTTTGAGGTGGCTTATAGGCATTAACGACGGTAATGTCAGCTATTTTTGTTACTACTTGGTGGATGTTTGAGGTTACTGTAGAATTTAATAATATAGCGTTTTCAATGTCATTCCGAACGCAGGTTGCGACTCCATATGAGCGGTGGTAGGTAGCTCCAAGTAGGTCAAAACCATGAATTTTTCCTCTGCGACGTTGCTGGTCTTCACTCTCTATATGGGTTTCCTGGATAACAGCCATGTCAATATTTTGGTCTAGCAAGAGTTTCGAAATGTACTCGCTTTTAGCTCTGCTAAGACCTTCGGCGTTTAATTGGCAAATTCGAATTTTTTTTTCGAGATTTTTTGGCAATTGGTCCTGAGAAGGGCCGTGTTTGGAAGATTTTCGAATATATGAATCCATGTATAGTAGCCAGGAGATCCGGAGATATTGTCTGGCTGCCGATAGTCGCACTAGCTCATTTAGCGTTACCCGGGGTACACGTGTAGCATTCTGCTACGGACGCGAGCTAGCCTTACACCCCTAAAAAAAAACTAGCAAATGGGCTATTTTACTGAAAGACCTTCTAAATGTCTTTGATTTTGCTCGGTTTATACAGGGCAAGTCAAAATTAGATATAATATTTGTGTCATCTCTATTAACAACAAAAAGTATTATCTTCGAGTATTATCGTTTTC